CCCCCCCCCCCCCCCCGGGGTAAACTTATGTTACTATATTTACATGGAGTACCACTTATACAGTAGGTATAGTGAATGCCAAAGTTAAGCTTAATAATCTAATTATAGTCAAATCCAACTAGCGGTCTATCATCAATACTGCATTCTGATTGGATGAGCTACTGTACTACTTATCTATAAGTTATAGCCTACTAGTAGCGAACAGTGCCTGTTTTTAAAGCCAAAACATTGATGTTACTTTCGTTCAAAACTTGTTTGCATCTATGTATCGACCGACTAGCTGGATTTGACTAAGACAATTAGTCATCTCGCCTTCATGACCTATGAGTCAATAGCCTGTTCAGCCACCTTTGGCCTCCTATAGCTAGGCTATTGACTCATAGTCCATTCGGGCTTGAGGACTAATTGCTAAATAGTATAATGCCGCCGCTGTGCACAGCAAAATACCAACTAAGTATTTTAGTTAGAGAACGTTTCCTGCATTTTTATAACTGGACTATAATTTCGTTCCATTTTAATATTCCTCCCGAAATGGCATCACATCCAGGACTGGCCATGTGGTGCTATATCCTTCACTTCCCTTAATTGTCCCTTTCACAGTTCCCAGCGCCATCTTGAAAGTTAGCCATGACATTACATCGAAGCGAGACGTGAGCTTGTGAGCTTGCAATGTTAAAGGCCATTTTTTTGTCTATATCGTTTCAAGTTCACCATTCGTCTTGCTTTGATGCAAAGACACGATTCTTCCAGTCACTCCCATAGTCCAGATCAACCTCAACATCAATGGTTATAAAAGACTGGTCTTAAATATTTTTTATTTTTTTAATATTTGTCATAAAATCTAACAATATATTACAGTCAAAACACCTCAAGCGTGAACACGTAGAGGTCATTAATGACTTTATTTTTGRATTCTTGATTTCATTATTCGATTCGAACATGCATTATTGAAAACGAATCTTCAAAGCCTGGCATTTACAAAAGCCAAGCATATATGCAACTGAAATGCAAAAACAACTAGGAACATGTAATATTAATGACTTACCTTCTGTTTGCGCTATAAACAAGAACCTACAAGCCAAGTTAATCGAATTTTCAATTTTTTTTATTTATTTTTTTAATTTTTTTTTGGATATTGAAGATTCGTTTTCATTAATGAATCTTCGAATCGAATAATGAAATCAAGAATCCAAAAACAAAGTCATTAATGACCTCTACGTGTTCACGCTATAGGTGGTTTAACTGTAATATTGGTACAGCGCAACGCGCAAAAGTATGGTCACATTTAATGTATTCGCATTTTATGCACCCGCTTTTGTACGTTGGTTTCACCAATTAAGAAAAAAAACACAATTTGGTAGTGGGTAACTAGAATTAAACAGAGTAATTTTCATCTGGGCCCTTCTAGGTTGAATAAGAATTTAAATATTGATTTTTGCGGAGGGAGGAAAACCGGAGAACCTGGAGAAAAACCCTCGAAGCACAGGAGAGAACCAACAAACTCTACTCACTACGACCTACGACGATTCCGAGGATCAAACCCAGGTTGCATTGGTGAGAGGCGAGCGCTCTCACTGCTACGCTACCCGTGCTCCTCAGACTTTTAAAAGCTTGTTTCACAGCAAAAAGCCTGTGCATAGAAGTATACGAATACATTGAACGTGGTCATACTTTACGCATTGCACTTTAATTTGATTTCTTAATATGTATTCGTGTTTAATGGCCCGTTAGGGCGGCGCCATCTTCAAAAATGATTCACATGGTTAGCATTAAATGCAATGTATCACGATATTCTTGTTTTTATAGTTTTTGTTGGATTGTTAATGTGAAACCAAGAATTTATATTTTACTTTTCTTTATCAGACTATTAGTCATAGTTGATTTGCGGTGTGTTTGATCTGTGGATCGTGGCTAATTCAAGGTTGTATTTGCTCTAGGATCATTGTTAGTTCAGGGTCAGAGCCACTTGATGAAGGGTATAAGTTGAATCGGGTTTATGTTTCATCAGGAGTCATTGATTGATCCAGGGTCAGGGTTGATCCAGGGTCATGGTTGATCTAGGGTCATGGTTGATCTAGGGTCATGGTTGATTCAGGGTCATGGTTGATACAGGTTCATGGTTGATTCAGGATCATTGTTAATCCAGGGTCATGGATAATCCAGGGTCATGATTGATCCAGGATCATGGTTGATCCAGGGTCATGGTTGATCATGGGTCATGGTTGATCCAGGGTCATGGATGATCCACGGTCATGCTTGATCCACGGTCATGATTGATYCAGGGTCATGGATGATCCAGGGTCATGAATGATCCAGCGTCATGGTTGATCCAGGGTCATGAATGATCATGGGTCATTGTTGATCCAGGGTCATGGATGATCCAGGGTCATGGATGATCCAGGGTCATGGATGATCCAGGTTCATGGTTGATCCAGGGTCATGGTTGATCCAGGGTCATGGTTGATCCAGGGTCATGGTTGATCCACGGTCATGCTTGATCCACGGTCATTGCATATTACAGAATCACTGATAAGGCCTACCTTTAATTTTGTAAGAATCCATCAAGATCCATCACAGATCATTAATTAGAAACACTTTATCAAGCAGGCACCAGCATTTTTAAGTTCAGATTCCCATATTTACAGGGGAAAAACTATTTCTAGCATAGGTTTTTCCACCTTAAGAATTTTACCCCTTAGTCAGGGTTCAATTTTAAACTGCTGATGAATTGGGAGTTACTAAAGTCGGAAGCACTTACCACTGTGCCACCGAGCCGTTTAAGTTATTTACATTATTACAGTTAAATACAGTGAGTATAACTGGCCAACATAAATAATTGGGCATACCTATCAAAATAAGTATTGGAGAACTCGAATGAGTAGTCGAGTCAGCCGAGACTGGCTTTACGTAACAAGCATGATCATTTCATTCGATTTTGACATTTACCGGTGCTTTTGTTGTTACATTTCGTGGTCGAATTACCAATTTAATCGCACTGAAAATAGGCGTTGAAATTAATATCGCAAAAGGGCTAATACTCCCACCAAAGGGTGTCTCATCGTATCTTTACACTTGCATTTTGGAAAACTTTGGAAAAAGATTATTTGTGAAAGTCGGAGAATTGTTGTCTGTACTATATTGTCCCTTATTGTTTTTTGAGACAAAACCCAGGGTTGAACCCTATTTTAGCGTCAAAATATTCACAAGTACCGACTGTAAAATTTAAAATGTATACGTACAACTTCATGAATACCATCACTTTGAAATTAAATTCAAAGTACCTTCACTGAAACACGTAAATATTCTACACAAAATTGAAGCTAGCCCTGAGCAACATGCAGATACTGAACTCGTAACTGAAGTCTCCTCTCTTTGCCTGTCTCACGCAAAGCTTTCCTTTTCATGCATCTTTGATTTTGACCCATTCTCGTACCCAGGCTTTGGGTACGAGAATGATTTTTGTCCATGCTTTCCAAGCTTTGCTCAAGACGACGAAGTGTTATTATAAGTTATATCTACAGTCTTTTGAGGAACCGAAAAATATGGCTCATTTCTTTTTTTCTATCTTTGGACTTTGTATTGGAATTGAAAGGTCGTTCCATTGAACCATTTGTCTCATCAGTGCCTTCTCTCAAGAACTCGTAGACGTCGAGCTTCTGGGTGCTTTCACGATGGTTGCGAACTGTGTCTTTTTCTGAGGCCAGAGCGGGTTCTGTGCTGCAGGAACGTATCTGGGATACGGATGATTGTCCACATGTAAGGTATGCAAGTTGGGCTGATGTGCTTCGTTGGGGTACTGCTGTATAGGACGATACTGGTCTGACCCGGGTTGATGAGGTAATTCTTCTAAAGCAATGTATTGACTGCTTTCTTGGCTTAATTTCTGGAAGTCTCGTTCTTTTTGCCTCGTTCTGATCTGGCACATCAAGAAACGATGCTCGAAAACACTGATTCGCTCCATGGCAGGCTGGATAGTTGTCTTCTTCGATACTTACTCTTGTAAGCTCGTTTTGAGCTCGGCACAGTTTTCTGATACGCTGTCTCTCCCTTTCCAAGTCACTGTCCCTCTCTGCCGCGGCCACAGAGTTATATCCATTTTGACTAGGAGATTTGTTCGCATCCCATTCAGGACGACTGATGCGAGGAGTAAGATATTCTGGTGGTCCGTCTCTGATCTCATACTGCAGCAAACTAGGAAACTGGACGCTTGATTTTGGCTTGATGACAGGCAGAACAGGGTTATTTCGTTGAAGCTGTAAGTTGTTCAACAGTGGATCGCTGGTACGCGGTCTTCGTAATGGACGGCGAAATTCATTTGTGGTCAAATCCGTTGAGCCATGTCCCGTTCTACCATTCGATTCGCACTCTCTTCTTATTTGGTGTTCTTTGACACTCGCAATTATAGGTAACTTCATTTGTTTAAATTCAGATGGCTTCTCAGTCTTTTGCACACTGCTTGCTCGAGAGCTTGTGATTTCCCCAGATGGCGACTCATCGGATTTGGCTTTGACTCGGTATGATATCTGGATATTGTCCTCTCCTGAGCTTGGACTCTTTTTTCTGATAAGATCTGAGTTGTTCTTGCCCTGGAAATCTGAAAGGTCAACTTCCTTTTGCTCGTCATCCTGTTCACTATCTTCGTTTGGCTCCCATTCCAGCTCAAACGATTTCCCGGCTTTCCCTAAAAGAACAAGATAATCCAAGCTTATTACTTTTTCACAGTCTTTCTTGATAACTTTGTGTTACCCGTCCTTTGATCAAACATCCGTGGAATCGATGCATGTCCTGACCCCAGTCAATTCAACAAACACTTTGCATGACGCCAATCAAAGCCTATCATGTTGCGAAGATGATTTCGCAAGTGACATTGCGCAATGCCACTAATAGTTTTTTGTCGAACAAAAATCAACAAAATAGTCTAATAGTAAGGCACTCAAATAATATGACAACATATGATTACTGACAACATTGAACACTGCCAGCCAGTTTTGTGTACAGCTCCTGAACTTGGCCGTTACGTTTTGGGTACATTTTTGAACGTTATATGGTCACACTAAGAATAATAAACCTTAAGTATCGAAAATATCAATTTTTCGAAATAATTTCTGGAGAATCCGGAGCAAATTTTTACCTTTTTTATCTTCATAGATCTTCTCATCTTCCTCCAGCAATTTGTAACCATCTGCCTTGACTTGACGCTTTCTTCGTAAGCTTTTATGGGATTGTACCTTGGAGGTCGCCTGAACTTCGATTCCTTTTTCAGTGTTTTGAGCGTGCACTTTAGAACTCTTTTTGAGAAAAGAGGCTTTTTTTCGCCTAACTTCTCTTTTGTCTTCCTTTTTCTCTGCTGTCGTGGACTGAATTGGCGGTAGCCTGGTTGGCCTTCGCTTCCTTTGTTGAAGGCTGCACATTGTATCGAATGAAGTTACCTCAGCGCTAAAACTGTTAGATAACGAATGAGGGCTACGAAGAATGCCATCGTTTTTTCCACAAGGTAGCTCTTTGGACCGCCGAACCTCGATCACCTGATAACGTTCTGTAAAAACAGAGGACATATGGATTCTGTTCGGCATTGGTAACGGCGATGAATTGCGTCTTTTCTGTAGCGAGGCGACGAAATTTTTAGTTGCAAGGAAGGYCATCTTACTTCAACAACTCTACCTATGTTGTAGCTCCAAATRCTTGGTCTAAATACCTTAGATACAATTGCCATTCGACTTAAATAGGCTTTAGATTAATTAAAAACCGTTGCAGAGGCGCTAATCGAGAACYACTTTAAGATCATGGGAGACCAATAATTGGCCAATTAATTATCTACATTAATTAAGCAGTGACCATTTTTTTAATGGGAGACGCCCAACAACCTCAAAAGAAGGTGTCTTATTCACTGATTAATCTTTGTCGTYGTCTTCCTATCATCGAACTCGTGAAATTTGTATTGTTTAGATGAAGAAGCAACGCCACGAAGTAATAAGAAATCAATTTTCTAGTTTTTTCTTCACAACGTCAATGAAATCTTGACTTAGAGCTTAGTTTTGGAAAACTAYGTCATTCTGCGTGCATTTTTTAAAGTTCGTTAAGATTTTTGTTTTTCCAGATCTGCTTTTAATAGATAACCAACGTCATCTATTAAAAGTAGAGTAACTTCTGGTCTTCTATCGAACAGGATTTTATCAACATCACTGTTATTAGTTTTTCTCAGGGTATTTGCTTTTATTTTTTTCTCTAGTTTTAGTTTTCACTAAAGTGATACAAAATGTCGGGAGCTACTTCGATCAAATCCCCCCTCCCCACTCCGGAGCTCGTGATATGATATCTTYATAGGTCCTCGAGCATTATAAACTAATCACCACTGTTCATAACAGCTAGTATTGACCAACATCTACAACTTAACACCAAGGCTTTTCTAGTAAAAGAAAAAGAATTTGTTCAACTTTTGGAAATAGTTGGAACGAAGTTAATTGCTTGATAGGCTTTGTTCTTCATAAGTATTGGTTTCAGTTGGGCAATTACACAGATTTCTAAAATTTTCTGCCTGTTAACATTTCCTTACAGTATTATCAAATATTGTAATTGCGTATATACTTTGCGTGCAGATGCCGTTTGTTTTCTTAGCTTTATTAATTTTTTTGTACCGAGTTAATTAGAAATTTCCAATCAAGCCCCTTGTGGAAACCGCGTCGAGCATTGGTTTTTCTCCGTCACGTGGCAGCGGCCCCTTGCATCAGTTATGTAAGTTTTAAAGCTATTCATGGTTTCCACTCTCCTTAGTTACCATTGCCCACAATATGAGCTTAACAAATTACGTAGAACATATCTCAGTGTTTAAAAATCTGATCGCCAAAAACACTGACTAGAATTTTTTCTGTTTCTTGCCCTGTGAAAAAAAAGAAAATTGTCTCGTAATCCTCGTAGTATACTCTTTACTGTGCGGATACTCCAACCGGGGACACTAGAGAAAAACGTTTGCGCATGCGTGCATTTCAGTGCGTTTTCTAAAAATTTTAAAGAGTTTGAGTGAGAAAGTATGTTTGTTTTCTCAAAGTATACAAAAGAGTTCGAGAGTATACTTTTGTCAGACCAAGATACTGTTTCAACAAACACAATATGAAAGAATTAGCCTTAAGTTTCAAGCATGGACACTAAGTTTTGGCATTTTGTGAAGTCCAATTTATCAGGCATGTTTAAAAGTCAAATTTACTTATGTTTTGACCAATTTGCATACGGATTCAGAGCATGCGCAGACGTTTTTCACTGGTGTTCCAACCCGGACCACTTCGATAAACTAGTATCATTAACCAATCATAATGAGACATAATCAATATTTTTAACCAGCCAATCAGATATAGCGCATCGATAGCGTGAGAACATGATAATCTGATTGGCTAACACTGTTATCAGTTCAATCTCTGTCTAGTTTACTGTTATCTGATTGGTCAGTTTTATTCAAGTGGTCCCTGTTAGTGTGTCCGCACAGTAAAACAGATAGAGTGCAAACCATATATCCGTGAAATAGTACTCACTGATTAGTGCAAAATAGCACCAATGAAACAATTGAAAAAAATAGAAGCGTGTTTAGTACTATTTAGCTTTTGTGCTATCTTAAGGAAACAGCTTTTTCAAAAAAGGCTGAATACTGAATACTGCATACTTAATAATTAGTTCCAAGACCAAAGTGCATTGTGGGTCATAGTGACATTGTCTATTGTATATTTTTAGTGTATTCCATCTGAAACGATATATACTAACTACATGTAGAGAGTTAATTGCTGTATATTTACTTTTTTATTTCAAATTAACGAGACCGACAATGCCCTCTTGTCTTGGAATGCACTATTCAGTATGCAGTATTCAGTATTCAACCTCTTTTGAAATAGCTGTATATGGTTTGCACTCTACTGTATACAGTGATTTGTTTGCTGTTCTCTAAGTGGTAACCATGTATTAAACAGGCCTTGTGCGTATATATAATCCTTATAAAATCATGAATAATGAGGAAAACACAATAGGAATCATTGTCCGTGGAGGAGGTTGTATATCTGATACAAAATCGTCCTGATTTGCATAAACTTTAACTCCAATTTTCTTAGCCAAATTCAATTTTATCTTTAAAATTATAACAGTAATGATGAAAAAGTAAATTATACACCGTGAAAAGATGAAAAAACTTACTGACGTTTCGGACGCTAGTTTTTAGCTAGTTATATCTTCTTTAAAATTATAGTAGAACATGAATGTATACACCTAGACGTTTTATAAGTAATACACAATATTCGTGTCCGTGTTGTATCAGATAGAATCACTCGCCTTCGGCTCGTGGTTGTATATCTGATACAACACGGCCAGTCCCATTGTATATATTACTTAACTAATACAGTCAGGCCCAGACGGTCAGATTCAAGTCAAAATGGTTAGTAACTTGAGATTTCAAAGTATATCAATAATGAATGTTTGTATTAAAGGGATTTCGTATAATACTCCTGGATTTGGCATTCTAAATTTTGACTTTTTTCTCAGGGACGTACGTACCTGGAATGCAACTTGAAAAATAAAGTATTTCCTTGACAAAGATAGGGTTGTTTCCTTGTAAAATGAACAGAATTTCCGCGACCATAGCTTCCCACATACTTTAACTACTTGGTTTTAGATTTTTTATATGAATACCTTTGAAAGAATCTCAATAGTACCAAACTTATTTATCATTCAAAGAACGTTTTGGTTTCGAGAAAGGTCCTGCAATATAGCTGTGCATTGCATCGTTACACGTACGAATCTTGCTAACTTCTCATGTATCAAGTAGTCTCCCTCGTAGGAGAATGGAACGAGACTAAAACGGCTGCGAGGGAGACTAGGGAGCAAGGAGAAGGAGGTAAATCAGGGAAGGATGTATTGGAGGGAGGGGAGGGGAGGGGAGTTGGGTTAAGTTTGGGGGATCATATTTATAGCATAATTATATGTTTGTATTATACTAGTGCTTGTCATATGAAGTACACTTCATATTCTCTTGTGGTTCAGTGTATATTAGTTGTTTTGGGAATGTCTTTTTCATCTTTTTTCTTTTTGTTTGTATTTATTTTATAAGAGGAATCCTCTGTCAAACAACTACATAACGTCGGTAGCCTCAAAAGTTGTTCTTTTGTTTCACTAACAGTTTTGGTGAAGTTAATTAGTTTATCACCTTGACGGCCATAAAGTGGTACTTTTATAAATTTCAATTTAATGGACTACAATGTACATTAACTAAGATCATTAGGAAAGTACAGAAGATTTGATAACTTTGGCACTTTTAATTGACAAAGAAAAACAGCGCCAAAAAGTAAACAAAAATAGCGATAATGCAAGTGAATGATTAGAGATCCACTGTAATGGTAATCGTCTTCCAGCATCAGAAAGCTCTGAAATGAAAAAAAMCACATACGTACATCTATTTCAAATTTGTTGTCGGTCGTCAGACTCTGAAATCTGCTGAGACAACTCGCCAGCGCAAGCGCAAATTGTTGCGAACTACTAATTGTCTTTTTAAAAAGGGGAAATATTTGAATTGCTGTTCCTCTCTGCTCAAACCATCACCAAGAGTATTCGTGACAATACGAAATTCAGAATTAAATTGTTACTTAGAGTACTATACTCACGGGTTAGGCTGAAGGTTGCTGTTGTTGTCGTTGCTGTTGTTGTTGTTAGTGTCTTGTAAAGTTACACCTGGAGTCGCATTCCGATCAAAATTTTGATATCGGTTCTGTCTTCGTCGCCACACGAAAATAATGGCGATGATAACGAGGGCGATACCCACTGCAATCCCAACGCCAACCAGAATATATGGATCCACTCGAATTCTACTACCTATGTAGCATATGGAAAAGAGAGTCATAAAGAGAGTCCAAAAAATTGAAGAAGAAGCAGCCTCGACTCAACTTAAGAGTGCACACAAAAATGATTTTCCTTGACCCATGAAAACTGATAGTAAGCATAACACAATGTAGGAGACAATGATTTGTTTTTTTATTTCGTTTTTAAGGCAATTAGAGAGATTTTATTTGGCCCGTGAAACAAAAGTCATTTGTATAACTAGTGACTAACAGTCAAAGCAAAACATGAACGCATTGCTGAGAGTCAGTTGACATTGTTTTCTTTTTTGCCCCCTTTGTTTGTTAGAGTTGTTCTTTTGTCTCTGACGTCAATGAAGAGGACTTAAATTTTGTGGAGTGATCAAAAGCGCGGAACTGAAGAAACAATTAACATTCCAAGGTTGAGGGGAAAACTGGGTCGAGTTGGCATCGCAGTGCATTCTGGGGCTGCTTAAGGGGACGAAATAGACGCCATCTTGGAAATATGTCCCCTAACAGTCCCACAATGCACTGCAATGCCAACTCCATCCAGTCTTTTCCTCAGCCTTGGATTGGCTAATTTTATCCACATGATTAGCCCGTCAACAACACAGGCACACTGCATATCAGTTAGTTGGAATCCTTTTATTATTGTAGGAAATGGTGGATAGACATATATAAGGGCATGATAATATGTCGAGAATGCATGATGATTGGATGAAAACATGCACTTGCCTCTGGAGCGTGGTATCTTTCTTTTCAGCATGTCTGTTCGAGGCGGTCCTTGAGTACCTAGGAAAAAAAACAGGGATGACTAAAGGGACAGACAGAAGACAGACAGACAGATGACAGACCGGCAGAACAACAAATGGATAGAAAGATAGCCTACATACAGACAGACAGACAGACAGACAGACAGACACATAGGTACAGACAAATATAGGCGGGCGGACAGACAGGCAAATGAAGGAACGGAAACAGACAGCAACATATAAAGACTTACATTCAGATGACAGCTTATCACAAAGGACAGAGTGACGTCATGAAAATCCAAATCAAACTTTTTACCCACACGCAAACAATTTATTTAATTCGCAAGCATCTCGTGTGTTCATATTTTCATAATTTCTATAACCTCTAAATTTCTAACTGGAAAGCTGTCAATTCTTCAAAGTTAAAAAAAGACGTCTTTCTGGAGACACGTTTCCTAATACAGATTAGACCCTTACCAAACTGTCATAGTTTTGGGTACACGCTCAGTTCATGAGGCTGGCATTTCAATGACAAAAGTATTTAGATAGGATTACTTCCACTACACAGAGTGAGTCTTCATCCACTGAAATTCCAATAGGAATTTGTAGAAGTTGATTTTTGCAAAGGGAGGTAGGAAAACCGAAAAAAACATGGAAAAAACCTTCAAATTTGTATTTCCTCATGAGAATAGTAAGACAATTGTTGCTAATTAACTGAACATAAATGAAAGTGTGCAAGGGATTCTGGTAGCTGTAGTAAATGACGCTACAATGCAAGTGACTTATATAGCGATAGTGAAAAAAGCTGTAAATTTCGAGGCAAGTGTATTGAGTCCGTCGATCGATCTTCACGATACTTTATTAATATGCTTCTTTTTTTACCTCGAGGTTTGCAAGGTGACGTTACTAATGTTGTCATCAGCGTGTTGTAAGAAGCTGTAGGATTGATGGTGTTCAAAGTTGCCTGGAACAAGACAATCATCAAGACATTCATGATATAACAAAAGACATGACCACCATGTTGGATGATATAACAAAAGACATGACCACCATGTTG